ACCCTCTTGCTGATCAGGATATGAATCTTTGTTCTCTTGATCTGAAATAGTTAATGAAATAGTGAGTTATTCTACTCCAATAAAAATATCACACTAATAACAGATATAGAAAAATGAAGTTTGGTAAAAAATTAGAAAATTACTAATGGAGCTCTTGCTTTATTTAAATATAATTTAAAACTTGAAGACATTTATTTAATACTTACCATAACGAGTTTTCCAAAGATAACTTAAGAAGACCCATATCTATATATTTTTTCACTTTTACGCATAAGAGAACGAGAAACAATAGCTTTTTTTTCTTACCTACTTATTGGTACCCTTAGGGCATAGGGGTGTCCCCCAAACTCGAGAACCCAATATCCAATTTTATAATTGGTCGTCCCCATACCCCGTCTGATAATGGGCGCTAAACATTCTATCCCCTTGATACACCGTCCATTATGAGAATGAACCATATCTCCCAAACTTTTTCGGTAAAGGACTTCTCAAACCCGTCCGACTGAGATAACGTTCACGGTAGGATTCTCTATGTACCAAGCGCGTCCGCACTTTCCCTGGGTAATCAGTAAGTCTTTCACATGCAGATTTTCATCAACAAATAATCAACAAACTCATACCAATATCTCATATCACATTCACAGATCAATTAAACTACATTCATGCTAACGGTATATAACTAAAATAATAAGATAAGTTGATAAGACTATTGAACTATAAATTGAAAACATGTACTATATGAAAATCAAGCAAGTAGGACAGTACAAGAAAATAAATAGGAATATAAGATAATTGTAAACTAACCGATTCCGTGTCCACTAGTAACTTGTAATTATTTTTAAGATTTTTAATTTTTTACAAAAATATAAAATTATACATCGTTAAGTCTCAATTTACTTTAACAGAGAATAGGTTGAGAGATCCTTACCCGGATCGGTATTTCGAGACATCGAACTGTTTATTACACCTCCTAACGGGTATCGAATTCTCTGAATTTTTTCTGTGGAATTCAAAACACTCGTTACATACCTAAAAATACCTTTAAAAAATCCAAAATCGGTGTCCAAAACTCATTCCAGATAATTTTGGAGTTTCTGGCAAAGCGACACCGTCATGCTCCAGCGCTGGCTCTGCCGTGCTTCAACACTGACTCTATCGCCCATGGTGGCATTTCATCTCGGCCTGACCAATTTTGATTGGTTTTGGCCATATCCCTGCAGAAAAACACGTTAGGAGCCTCGGTTGGCCATAAAATCATAAAAAAACCGAATCTACTGATGGGGGGACCTTCGGGTGTGGCAGCTCCGCCGGTCATCCTTTGTGGCTGAGGTTCTTTCTTCTGGTACCCTATACAAAAAAGGAGGGTGAACACAATGATAGAAAAATCACATGAAACGGGAATCAGGAAGGGGCTCATCGGAGGGATTTTGGGATTTTAGCCGCAACGGCTCCGTCGAGCTTTGCTCGCAGTTTTCGGCTCACTCACCATCCTTCTTGCTCCGATTTGGCCATATGGTACTCGAAATTGAATTTCGAGCGGGCAGGGAGAATTTTTACTTTTTCTAGCGGTCGGCGAATGCTCCGGTGCGGCGGCGGTCGACAGTTGGTCTCTTTCTCTGACGTCTGGTTCTTCTTCTCTAGTGAGGGCTGACGGCTATGGTTTAGGTTCCCGTATGATGTGAAATATTTATAACCATCCCGCATTGATCTATGCCATCTATCGCGATCGATCTTGTCCGTCTGATCGCCTAAGGAGGAAACGAATTTGGATCGTTAATCGTAATTAATCTCGACCGTCTGATCATGCCTAAGGGAGAAACAGATCCAGGCAGTCCATGCATGCGGGATCGATCCTAGGCCATCCGATCACGGGGCACGCGGATCTTCAGCGTGGCCTCCCGTATGGCATCGACATCAGCCCGTCTTGCCACGCGGCGCACTCCGGTCTGTTGATGCAACTGACTGGCCAGTACTACATGGCTGAACTTTCTCTATTTGTACTTTAACCCATTCTTTCTAATTTTTCTTTTAAAAACATCCATAAAACCTAAATTTTCACCAATTTTTCTCAAAATTATTTTTAATCTTGTCCCTAATTTATTTATTTATTTTTAAATTCTACTTAATTAAAAATAAAATAAAATAATCAATTATTTTAAAGTAATAATTAAAGCATAAAAAATTTATCTCGGATAATTTTTTGGGCTTGGGTATTACATCATTAGTGTCGAGTAGAGGTTAACCATATTTATTTTTTTTTTATGTTTTTCTCGCATTTAAGTTTCAAATGTATTTTCATAACCCTATTGGACATTTTAAGTAGACATATAAGGAATGTAACCTTAAAACTTTAATTGTTTCTGCTAAATAATAAATTTCAGTATTGTTATTTTACTATCATTGAGTTATACGTTCGAAATCCTTGATAGATGTTTGAGCTTTTACATTATTAACATTTAATGTCACATGTCACTGACTTTAGCATATAATTATTTTAGTAGTTATTTTTTTATGTGAATATTACGTGAAAACATTGAATCGACTTGAACTGCTCAAGACTATTGATTTTAAATTTAATACGAATCGATTCAAATTGATCAATGTTTAAATTTCTCTTCCACATCATACGTTGCATGGAGTTTAACATAATATCTAAAATAAATAAGTGATTGATCAAAAGATGTCACATACTAAAATTGGTACCAACAACATGTCAATACTTCTAATTCATTTTTTTTTTAAATATAATAATTAATTTAACATAAAATTAAGGCATACATCAAATCTTATTAAAAAATATTTTAGTCCATAAAGCAACATTCATTTATAATCATTCTCTTCACATGGGATGCCCATGAAGATTACTCTTATCGTTTCTTTTTTATTTTTATTTTTTAATTTTTTGCATCCATCCATCATCATGGATCTTGATGCATGTTGAAAATGTCGTCATTTAGTTTCATATGATCCAAAAGTATTGAGATTAATATATATTTTTTATTTTTTTAAAATTATATTTATTTATAAAAATTTTATTAGTCAAAATATCTAAAATTTATATATTCATAAAATAAGCAAAATATAAATAAAATAATTATAAAAGAAAAAACTAAAAATAATGTTTTATAATTTTATAATTCCATCATTAATTTTACTATTATAAAAAAATTAAATAATGTTTTTGTATGCTAATTAGAATTTTAATTTCTCCTATAGCAATCTCGAGAATGTATACTTCTATATTTTATTAGTGAATTCATAATTTTACTGTTATAATGAGTAATTTTTATAAAAATAAAATTTGAACTTTTTTCAATAATTACATGAATTGAATAATTGAAGTTTTTTTTTTTTTTTTTTTTTTACTTAATAAAAAGATGAATATACTTCTAACAAAGACAATATAATTTAATTTTTTTATCATAGAAATAATTTGATTAAGACTACCAATCAAGTAGTTTATATTTTTATGGTTGGACACGATTTATATATATAAGATTTATATGTACTTTGATGTTAATGACATAATTTTTGGGGTAAAAACTACAAATAAGAATTATATAATTAGATAAATTAATTATGTTAATATGATTTGAGATCCATAAGTAAAAAAGTGAGTTTGGCAAAGGCATGGTTGTTGTTGGAGAATAACATAGGATGCGTGTTTTTTACTTTTCCCATTACCGTTGAAAAGAGTTAACTCATGATTCTTCCACTCCCCTTTTATCTTGGATCCAAAATTTTTATAATTTACATAGAAATCTGAGACAAAATGTTTTTTTTTAAAAAAAAACAAATTACAAAATAATTAAATTTCAACTAAAGTAAAATAATTTTGCATGGATGGGAATTTTAATAATCTAATAAAAAATAAAAATAAGATCATACTAGAATAATAAGATAATCTAAAATAAAATTAAAAAGCTAAAAAAAGAATTACTGTTTCTTCCATAACCTGCCACTGCTGGCTCAACTTATAAATTAATGACTTGATTAAACCGATCATTATCCAGCTAAGCTTTGCCAGCTATTCAAGCCAACGAAATTTTTTACTAAACGATGCCAAATGTCGTCGTTTCATTCACCTAACAAAACTACCTTCTTTCTCTCCCCCTTGTGGGTCAAACATTGTGCTTTCTATCATCAAATTTTACGTCAATCAAGCGGTTGAGAATTGTGTACCAACCAAATTAGGGTGTAATATGACTAAAGCTGATCGACCAAATGCCACTAATCCAAAAGTGATGGAAACAATTGATAAAGAAAAGAAGAAACTGGGACCGTCTGATTAGGATGGCCCCGCATTTCCTTATGGGCAAAAGCGTGATGCGTCACGCAGCGTAGAAAAACGCCTTTTTGGAGTTCTGGAGCTTCGCATATGGAGCCTGCTTCGTCAGCCCATGGCCCAATGAGCTTTCACCTCCAATTCAAAAGCTGCGAACATCAATCCCACCCTCTCCACGCGAGCGTGCAAGCAGAATACCCATGTTAGATGAATATGATAAAAATCACAAAATCATGTAATAATTATATATTAAAGATAAATTTTATATTGTATATGTTTGTGTTTAATCTTAATTAGCATGAGACATTTAACTAGTGAAAACATTAATATATAAATAACTTTAAAATTTTAAGTTAAATCTATAATTAATCTCTAAATATTTAAACTATTTTTGTATTTTAACAGTAAATTTATATATAATAAAAAAAAAACAAAAATTTATTTGTGAAGTTGACTTCTTCTACCTAAAAGTTGACTTTATTTACTCCAAATTTGATTTGAAATAAAAGGAAAAAAGACTGTTTTAATCCTAATAAATTGTCCAGAATGAATGTGAAGTTAATATAAGAGAGAGAGACTCCACGCGCTGAGACGACGCGTGAGAGGTGATGGAAGATGCGTTGGCTTTTGGAGATTTACTACAAAAATAAAGGAAATAGAAAAATAAAAAAATACGTTTCCACTTCTGCCAGCAAGACAGTTTCTGTTTCCACTCGCCTTTTATTTCATCTCTCACTTTGGCCTCCTCGTGAACCTTCTCTCTTACAAAAACCACTTCACTTCTCTTCTCTTACCCTTACACACACTATCTTCTCTTACTCCCTCTTTCCTTTTCTCCGTCGCCCATGGATTCTTGCCGGAAAACTGCTCCTGGTTTTGTTCGATACCGCTGCTACAAACCGCCAACTGAAACGAGTCCGTAAGGGAGGAGATAACAAGACAAACAACCAATTCTTTTCTTTTCTTAATTGCTTGTTTCTGAGTTTTGGTGACTAATCAATGGCGGTGAATTTTGGCTCTGCCTGGCACCTTTTTTTCTTCGTTTGGGTTGTAGCAATGAGTTGGAAAGTTAGGTCGGAGCCCGTCCAGGATAAAGAAGCGCTACTTGCGTTCATCAGCAAGACCCCGCACGCTAACCGCCTCCAATGGAACGATTCTGACTCGGCCTGCAACTGGGTCGGCGTCGAGTGTGATGCCAACCGCGATTTTGTTTACACGCTCCGTCTACCGGGAGTTGGCCTTATCGGTGAGATTCCGCCTAACACTTTGGGTCGACTCACCGGGCTCCGAGTCCTCAGTCTCCGGTCGAATCGTCTTTCCGGCAAGATCCCTTCCGATTTCTCCAACCTAACCGTTCTTCGCAGTCTATATCTGCAAGACAACGAGTTTTCTGGGGAATTCCCTGCAAGTCTGACCCAGTTGACCCGCCTGACTCGGCTCGATCTCTCCAGTAATAACTTCACGGGCCCAATCCCTTTCTCTGTCAATAATTTGACTCACTTGACGGGGCTATTCTTGGAGAACAATGGTTTCTCGGGTACCCTTCCGAGCATCTCCGCCGGTTTGGTGGACTTCAATGTGTCGAACAACAATCTCAACGGATCGATCCCTGATACCTTATCGAAATTTCCTGCATCCTCTTTCAGTGGAAACCTTGATCTCTGTGGAGGTCCCTTGCCGCCGTGTAACCCGTTTTTTCCATCACCAGCTCCGTCTCCATCGGAAAACCCTCCTGCGCCTCCAGTCCACAAGAAGTCCAAGAAACTGTCCACAGCCGCAATTGTTGCCATTGCCGTCGGCTGCGCAGTGGGTGCATTACTTTTACTGCTCTTGCTCATCCTCTGCCTACGGAAACGGCAGAGACGACAGCCCTCGAAGCAACAGAAGCCAGTGGTTCCAACAAGGGCGGTGCCGATGGAGGCAGGGACGTCGTCGTCGAAGGACGACATTACCGGCGGATCGACGGAGGCGGAGAGGAACAAGCTTGTTTTCTTCGAAGGAGGGATTTACAGCTTTGATTTGGAGGATCTGTTGAGAGCGTCGGCGGAGGTTTTGGGAAAGGGAAGCGTCGGAACCTCCTACAAGGCGGTGCTGGAAGAAGGAACCACCGTGGTTGTGAAGAGGCTTAAGGACGTGGCCGTCACCAAGAAAGAGTTCGAGACTCAAATGGAGATTCTTGGAAAGATTAAGCAGGAGAATGTAGTTCCATTAAGGGCGTTTTACTATTCCAAAGACGAGAAACTCCTCGTCTACGATTTCATGCCTGCGGGCAGCTTATCTGCTCTTCTTCACGGTACGTTACTGTAAATTCCTCTGTTTTATTTATTTATTTATTAATTTCTGGGTCTTTGGTAATCATCACTTTCATGTTATTTTTATCATCATCATCATCTGGGTTTTCAACATCCACCGTAGCCATTCGTATTTCAAGCTTTAAACAAGAAGATTCTGAAAGCAAATTTGAAGATGATCGCCTAATAATTCGTGCATTGTGCCAGTTTATTACCAGCATTATTCGGCATGAACTTTGACCGAACTCCAAATCCAATGGTTGAATTCATGTAGGATACTCTTACAATCATGAACAAAATATAAAACAAAATGATGTAATTGTCGTGGGAAATCTGGGTACCTTAGTAACAAATTGATTTCTTATTTTCTCATCACCAGCCAACTGGAAAAATTCCATTTGGTTTTCGTCTATGTAAGTTATTCTTGTTCTCTTCAAACATTCCTAGTGTGTTTCAAGTCTGTCATCCACACACACCGTCACACCATAATTATTTAAGAATTGAGTATACCACCGACATAATACTTATTGTCTTACCCCTCCTGCATCATTATATACACATATATTATAATACATTGCTTGCTTTTGCCGCTAATATAAAAAGCGTCATGTTGAAGAACCACATTCTGATGCCACATGGGCTGAGCATGCTCTCTGTTGAGATGGTAGCCTTTTTTCTTTTCAGTACAATAAAAAAACAAGAGTGTCTCTACTCTAGCTTTTCAAAACTTTGGTATTATTACTTTTGCCCAATCCATTTAAAAGGGCAATTTTGACCATATCTTTACGATGTGCCTTGTTTGGACAATTTTTATTTGCCATGCACTTAATGGGTTTGTAAAAATCCAATCTTTAAAAATGGATCAGATTTTTTCTCTTATTTTTAAATAATTTTTCCATATATATTTTTTTAAATATCCAATTATATTATCCTTTCGGCGCATCAGAAAATATAAATTTAATGTTAAAGCTTCTCGTTTTTAAGCTTAAAATGATGTAAAATATAGAAAAAGAAGACCCCGTTAGGAAAATTATAGATTTAATATAATTAAATTCTCTCAGTTATTTTTTCTCATTAAAGATAAACAAAGCTAACAAGATAACCGGGGTATCCGGTGGTATGTTCTGCAGGTAGTAGGGGTTCAGGCCGGACGCCGCTGGACTGGGAAAACCGGATGAGGATAGCACTAAGTGCGGCAAGAGGGCTAGCTCACCTACACGTGTCAGGAAAAGTGGTCCACGGCAATATCAAATCATCCAACATCCTTCTCCGACCCGACCACGACGCTTGCGTTTCGGATTTCGGGCTTAACCCGCTTTTCGGCACCACGACACCACCGAACCGGGTGGCGGGTTATCGGGCCCCGGAGCTTGTTGAAACCCGCAAAGTCACCTTCAAATCGGACGTGTACAGTTTCGGTGTGTTGCTATTGGAGTTACTGACAGGAAAGGCACCGAACCAGGCGTCGTTGGGCGAGGAAGGGATCGATTTGCCTCGGTGGGTCCAGTCGGTTGTCCGGGAGGAATGGACGGCGGAGGTTTTCGATGTGGAGCTGATGAGATACCACAACATCGAGGAAGAGATGGTGCAGCTGTTGCAGATCGCCATGGCCTGCGTGTCCACCGTACCCGATCAGAGACCCGCAATGCCGGAGGTGGTCCGCATGATTGAGGAGATGAACAGAGCCGAAACTGATGACGGGTTAAGACAGTCGTCCGATGATCCATCAAAAGGATCAGAGGGTCAGACCCCGCCGGCGGAATCAGGGGTCCGACTCACACCTTAGACTTTTCTCCTCGAATGGAATTATTATTTTTTTGCGAAAAAGGCAAGGAAGAGAAAGACCAAAAAAGACAATACGATGGTGGTCCATTGGTGGTGGTAGCTCCGCTCAAGCTTCCATTAAAATATGCACAATGCGAAAGTAACACTGGGGAGTGAAGGTTGGTCCCTTTTTTTTTTTTTTTTTTTTTTTTTTTTTTTAAAAAATATTGTATTTTAATTTTAAATATTTTTGTGGTTATTTTTTATTTTTATTTTTATTTTTTAAAAACTGGGCAATGATTTTTACAGGTGGTGGGGAGGAAGGTTTGAATTGTTTTTTTATTTTAGGTGGGTGTAATTGACCAATTGATGGATTTTTATTTGAGTTTTTTAATTAATTCTTTTTTATTTAATTTTTTTACTAATATAATATTCTCTAGCTCATAATCTTTGTCCTTTACCCACGTGATATTGCTTCTTTTTTCACCTTTTTTTTTTTTTTTTTTTTTTCTCTATGTACACTTTTTTTTATAATATTACTTTTAATCATTAAATGCAATGAGCCAACTGGCTGTTGAAAAAGAAGGGAAAAAGAATATAGTCCCCTAAAAATTCCCACTTGGTTCATTTGTTCTACATGCACGGCTCCCAAATGCTTGTTTTCTTCTTGCCCCCGCTTATTTTTTTTTTTTTTTTTTTTTTTTTTAAAAAAAAAAAATTTCACATGCTCTAATAATATATGTGCTAACGTGGATTTATGACCCGGTTGATAAGTTCGTACGCCCCATAATTTATAAATTATTAAGTACATCATTATTCTAAAATGGATTAATGATGATTATTATATTTATTTAATATGCGCTTCAATAATGCATGCGAAGCTGGAAAATGCTACTGTTCGTAGTAGAGTACTGAGCGGCAGAATAAGTAGGTGAGAATGATACGAATCTGGGCCCCGCAGTTCCATTGGAAATCAGAACGTCCAAAAAGCCGAAACAACCGGCGGGTCGTTTTGGTTTTAGTTGCGTGCGGGCGCGACCAATGATTGTAGAATGAGACGGACACGTGGCGGATAGAGAGAGGTCGCAGACTAGAGATTTGAGGGATCACTGTAACACTATTGAACTGGTTAGGATTTTGTCCGTTTACGAAGCGCAGAGATGGCGAACAGGCTGGCCGGCATTCCTTTTTTTATATATATATATATATATATCTGTAAGCGCAATACTAATTAGGTATTATACTAAAAAAAGAAAAGAAAAGAAAAAGGTATTATACAATAAATTTAATTTAAATATTTATATTACAATCTGGGCAAGTTTTAGAGTTGGTAAAAACTAATTTAATACTTATTAATTTAAAATATAAAAATAAGTACGTTAATTTTGAAATTTAATATTTTTTAGGTGACGTGAAAATTAGAGGGGAGACTGTATGAGTTTGTTGACTTTATCGAAAGTAGCGGAGCGTAGAAGGTTTAGAAACAGCAATATGTCTTTACGTTAGTTTTGAGGGGGGCCTTTCGTCTTTTTAAACCATTTCCCGCATGCACTATCGTCCTGACATTCCTGTTCTGGACCCCACTAGTAGGGGTCGCCTTGTCTCTTTGTCGCAATACAAACACAAAATTTTGACGCTATTGCTGTTAATTTTTTTTTTGTTTAGATTAAATAATTTATAAAAATAAACTGTTCATTTATGCCAAAAATAAAAATTATTACTTTGAAAAATCTAGTAATTAGTGTTCTGTTACTGTGAAGTGTGTAATTGGGTCACTTGTTAGAAATAAATTTAATATAATGGATATTATTTTGTGTGAAGAATATACAATAACGTAATATTATATTTTTATTAGTAATTTATAATATATTTATTTTTATTTATAAATGTGATAGTAAATAATAATTTTGTTCACTTGAGGCTTTTGGTATCTGTGCGCATACGCGTCACTCTATTTGACTATTTTTTAAAATAAATAATTTTGTTATTTGAATGATTGTGCAAATTATATATAATTCTAAGGCACATTTTTTAAATAATAAAAATTATTATTTTTTCTTCACGTTGGAAAATAATATTATTTATAATCGAGATTAATCTTTTTAAAAATAGAAAATTATATATCTTATCCGAATTGCATTTATTAATCAATAATTGTACTCATCAAAGAATATGATTAAAGCCATATGGGATTCATAATCATGCAATAGCATAAGTTTTTTTTCTTTCTTTTTTATTTGTCTATCATTAAATCTTTTAAATTATTAAGTTCTCATAAAAAAAAAATGAAATAAATTTTATTTTAAAAAATATGAAATTTATATTTTATTTAGATATTAAATATAAAAATTTATAAGTAATGTGCACGTCAAAATGGATTTTTAATAATTAAATTATAATTTTACTAATCATGTGTTTGGAAATGTTTGACCTTTTGCCCATCACAGCATTTTTTTTTTTTTCAGGAGTTATTTATAATTTTTACATTGTTTATTTTTATTTTTTACTGGCAAGAAAAAAATAATAAAATTATTATAATATTTTGAGTTTTTACTTTCTAAATGAATAAATATTTACATAAAAAATTGTATGAATATGCATCTTCTAAATAATAAAATATAGACAAAAATATTTTTTTTTATAAAAAATATTAAAATAAAATCCTAAAAATTTATGTGTATAAATATGTGTGTGTGTGTGTGTATATATATATATAAGAGTGGCCCTCACTTAATCAATAAAATGAACCTGTAAACTAACATTCACATCAAGGCTTTTTTATGTAAGGGAGCATAAACATGGGAAATAACATTATTATCATGGAGTGTTGTAAGTTGTGACAATTTAAAAACAAAATAAATCAAACAGATTTTGACAATGATTAGTGACACTAGAAAAACAAAAAAAAAAACAAAGAATACTATATATACATATATATATGTGTGTATGTATGTATGCATACGCAAACACACACACACACCTCGATATATACATCTTACCCAAAAAAAAAAAAAAAAAAAAAAAAAACTCAATATAATTTAGTTTTGTGGTTCATGCATGCAAACTAGAGATACCCATTAATTAAAATAGCCTCTCTTTCTTAGCTAAGCAACCAATTTTATTTATTTAATTTGAAGAAACTTTTGGTTAATTTGGCGTTTGATGCTTGTACCATTCTGTGTTTAATTCCACTAAGGGCTGAATAAATTAAAAAAAAATTATTGTTATTATTGCATTTGCCAATAAATTTTCCTTGAAACTTACTTGGCAAAGATTGGCATCAATTCTTATGACTCATGTTCAAGAAATAGAGCTGTATTTTTACTTTTTTTTTTTTTCCCTGCTTTGCATTAACTAAACTAGCTTAAAGCCTTGATTAACTGATGTGGGTTATGCATATATGTAAGAAATATGAATGGAGAAATTAACAGGTAATCTAAATTTGAAAAAGATTGGACCTAATCTAATTTAGAGTGTAATTCAAGAAAGAGGAGAGGAGAGTTTCTTGCCTTCCAAGTTCATAAATTGGGTGTGGGGGAGGCAAACAACAACAGCAACAATCATGAAGTTTTGAAAACGGAATTGGGAAGAAAGATTGGAGGTTAGATATTAGAGAAGAAGAAAAGATGAGAGTTAGAATTAAACCAATCACTCATTAGTCATCTTTAGAATTGAATTTAAATCTTAAGGAACTCCATTATGTGTTAGTTGGATGATTGAAACCTACAAGAGATTGTTCTCCTGTTACAATGATATTTGGCCAATGCCCAACATCA